TGCCTATCAATGAATCGTAATTTCACTTTACATGTAAGGATTACTCAAAATAATATTTATATATATATATATTAAATTATTAAATTTATATATTTATTGTTTTATGAATTATTAGGGTTTATATTTAATGGGCAAGGTGAAATGGAAAAAATCTATGAAATCATGTCTAAGTTTTAATGACAATGATGCATTTATTTAATATTTATACTAATACAATAATACAATTTCTTCCAATATACATAACAACAATTTCCATGAATATTAATATGTATTTACACTTTACTCTCAAATCAGGTATGTCTTCAATAGAGCTCCAAAACAGGTCAGGTCATGGTTTTAATTGTCCCAGGTCAACATCATGTTATAATTGCCTTTAGAAACCCAAAATTATTTTTGAAACTAGTATGGATACTAATAAATGAGTAAAAATAAATGGCAAAATAACAATTTTGACATAAAAAAAAGCAATAATTGATGCAAGTGTTTTATATAAATAAAAATAATAATAAATTATGTTATTATTATTATTATTATGATTATTTCAGAAAAATTATTTGGTGATGTTGTATGTGAAATTGAAATTATGTGAAATTGAAATATTATGGAGTGGGTGAAATTCTGATTGGCTAATTTGAATTTCACATATGTGAATTGCGAATTCACATAATTTCATTTTCATGTACAACAGTAATAAGAGAAAACCTTATTATTATTTTTTTATTTTTTAGAATTATTATTGTTACTGCTATTTCGTTATTATTATTACTATTTCATCATTACTATATCATCATATAAATTTAAAAAAAACCCACAGTATTCCCATAAAAAATAAAATACAGAGTTGGCACAGAATGCAAAAAAAGTGTGGAAAAGACGTACAAAAGGTGCAGGAAATAGTACGGAAATAGTTCATGTAACAAAAACAAAACTTTCGTACTTTTAACAGTCTTTCCTGCACCTTTTGTGCAACTTTTCCATACTTTTTTTTTACATTCCACACCTATTCTGTATCTATTCTGTACCAATCCCATATTTTATATTTTATAGGATATAAGCATAAATTAATTAATAATGTCAAAAAGAAAAATTGAGATTGACAATTACAATAATTACAATGACAATGATAAAAGATAAATGTATTAAAATTGAATAATTAAAATAAATAATAATTTTTTTGTATTAGTTTTTTTAAGTTTTTTGCAATAAATAAAAAAATTAATCTGTGACCTGTTGACCCGACCCGACTTGTTCGGAGCTCTAACTTTATTTTCCTTGGTGTGGGTATAATTATTAGATATCCGTTAATATTAATATCCATCAATAATAATAGTATGATTGACTTGGTCTAAAGACCTCCTATTGCTGTGCTACATGCTCAAATTTCAAAAAATTGCGATTTCATGATTCGTTCAAAAAATTTTTTTAAAAAAAGGGTTTCACGTGATTTTGGTTTATCTTACTGCCAAATTTAGATATGATGGTTGATTATTAGTCTAATTTAATAATGATCATCAAAACTGGTCTAAATTTAGCAGTGATCCTAGCGCTCAAATTTCTCATGAGCATAGTAAAGTACATGTTTTAAAAAAAAAATAGAACTCTACAACAAAGAATTTTTTTGAGAAAAATTTTTTATTAAATACATATTATATCAACTAATAGAGCTATTTTTTTAAAAAGATAGGACAGAAAATGACTTCTATACTTTTAAAATTTGCCCAAAATTTAGGAGGTCTTTAGGCCGAGCCAATTATAATAATATTAATATTAATATTTTATTGTGTAACTTCATCATTAAAGTTCTTAATGGTTCGGTTTGATGAGTAAACTGAATTGAGTTTTTTGCATTCAAACTGAAACCGAACCGAACTTATTTTTAAACCAATAAAAATTTAAATTGATAGTGTTACCAGAATTAGAAATTAATGCCAATTCATTCTCTAATTCCACATTAATATATTTTTATAATTTATTTATTCCATTTTATAACATTATAATGTATTTAATAGAAATTAACATAGATTTTGCGACTTCATACTAGTACTTGAAGATCTATTTCGGGATTAAACCACTGAATCGCAATTGCACAAGTGCGGATCCATGATTAAATTGCTAAATAGTAATTAAGTGCAATATTTGTTGTAATTAGAGTGCTACTAATTAATTTAATTGAATATAAGAGTCTTGTACAGTCAAACCTCGTTTCAAAATTCATGAAACGAGATTACTAATCGCGTTTCAACGAATAATTTTTGTTTTCATAATAATAATGTGTAACAAAATTTTTAAAGTTCGTTGAAACGTGAATTTAATTATAATTCGCTGGATGAAGTTCGTTGAAGAAAAAAAATTTTTTTTTTGTGTTCAATAATAATTAAAAAAACCGAAACCGAATCATTCTGAACTTTATTCATTATTGATTAAAAAAACTGTTATTATTTAACAATCTTATTTACTGATATAGAGGTTGGAATCATCCCAAAAAAATTCTTAGTCAACTACTAGTTGGTCAAAATTTCTTTAGTCGATTATTTAGTTGACTATTTACAGTGAACCCTCCCTAAATGCACGCACTATGTATACCCTCCATAAATGCACGCTCACAAGAAATAGCACTATGTTCCCGAGGGGGTGCACTTATAGAGGGTTCACTGTAGTCGATTATTTAGTCGATTATTTTAGTTGACTAATTAGTATTAGTATTAGTTGACTATTTAGTCGATTATTTAGTCGATTAGAAATATTTTTTTATTTTCGCTTTTTCAAAATGCATCCACACAAAACCATGTGTTACGATTCGTTTTTTAAAAGGTCTTCTGGAATCACCGCTTAAATCATTAGAACTATTGGACCTTATATTGGAATTGTTTATTAGTTCACATGTAAATTTATCACCACCACTGTCGTCATCATCATATTGATACTCTTCCGCATAGAAAATTTACATTTTGAATGATAAAACACAAAAATCGTAATTGGTCAGACAAGAATAACACTAACATAGTATTAATATTAGCATTAGTATTAGTAGTAGTAGTAGTAATATTAGTAGCTGACTAATTAGTCGATTAAAATAGTCAACTAAATATTCGACTAAAATATTCGACTAAATAATCAATTAAAATAGTCAACTAAATAGTTAACTATTAGTTGTTCAAAAAAAAGTTTAGTCGATTCCAACCTTTACACTGATATATATTATATAATGAATGCTCTAATTAAATTATTAATCAGTTTCTATTACTCTATGTAATATTATAATTCTATTAAAAATGAAAATTAAAATATATATAAAAAAAAATTATAATTATTAGAAATGTACAAATTATTTAATACTTTATTGAAGCTCGGGGTGATTTGATTCATAACCCGATATGGTTTCTTTACAATAACTATCCATATGGATAGTAACGCCAAATAAACGTCTACTCTTATCACAATATCTGTTACCTTTTGCAGCCAAGTAAGTCAGTATTGTTTGATCTTGTCTGTGATTAACTCTACTACTACCAACTGGGGCTATACAATCTTTAACCAGTGCACAGTCATACCATTCATCAATCAAATATTGCACTCTGTATGTGTCAAATATCACAAAAGCCGCATTACAATTCATCAATTTGTCATATTTGCTATGATCATCTTTATAATAATCATATACGCCAGGATGAGTCCATTCATTCATGAATCCAGGTGATTTTGGTGATACAAATCCATCAAATGTCTCGGTAAAAATTTTTAATTTTTTGAATAAAAATCTTTCAACTTTTGTGCCGGAATCCAACCAAATAAGTGTGCCAGGATAATCTTTAGATACCTCTTTAATCATTCCAGGTTTCCACGCGTATTCACCTCTTCCCTCATTAATATCCCAAAATGAAGGATATTTACTAAAATTAAATACTCTTAAATCACTTAAATAATTTGAATTCTTTAATTCTTTTAATGCCATTCTTTGCTCTATTGATAATCCCAGATCATATACCACCATATTATAATCAAATCCTTCAAGCGTCTCATACATATTATAAAGAAAAGCCTTTAATGGACAAAAATGATTTCTACTTGCGCCCGTTATAATTGTAAATGATTTATTTCTATCGTTATTGTAATTATTGTTAATGTTATTATTATCACTTTCAATGCATTTGGAATCTAAATCTACAAAAGTTATAAGATAATACATATGTAAATATATGAATATATGTGCATGGTCATGTAATTTTCTTTGATTTATTTATTTACCAGGTTCAGGCACACGAGTATTAGTTCCGATATATTGCATTATTAGGATCATCATTATTACAAGTACAATAATTGTTAATATGTTTAAACGTTTAAAAACTTTTTTCTTCATATAAATGTTCATTTTCTTTTTTATTTTCTCCTCCTCTGTTTTAATTAAAGGACCCAGTTTTGCCAATTTTATTTATTTATTATTTTGTTATAATTTCTTATTTAAATATTTAAATACTTTTTAATTGTATCTTCATATATTTTAGGTCTCTTTTTTTCTTTTTGAGATAAAGGACAGTATTGAAATATTTAAATAAAAATTTTTAACGCAAAGTTCTTGGGGGGAAAAAAATGTTTAAAACCTAAATCTAGTATTTTTTAAATAGTAAAACGAAAAAAAGAAGTCTAGTATTGATTTTATTGATTTGTAAATTGAATTTGATTTTATGCGGGTGGAAAATCCGTACAAAAAAAACAAAAAAAACAAAAAAATAAAATAGATCCGGAAAACTCCAAAAAGTTAAAGGAAAAAGTCCTGTCTGATATACTATACATATAGTACTCGATACCAATCAAATTTTGGAGCAAAAAATAAAGTTACGATCCTTTCTTTCCGCAATCATGTTGTGATTTAACAAAAGTAGACAAGTGTAAATAATAATAATAATAATATATAGCAGACAAGTTATTTAAATCATGCTTCCTAAAAAATTATTTTAAATTAATTTTATTTTTTAAATTTTAAAAGGAAAATAAATGTAATAATGGAAAGACAACAACAATTAGAACAAGAAAAACAAGAAATTCAAAATCATCGAGCCTATTCAGCAATTAACCCTACTATTAGTGGTGATAATAAAAATAAAACAAAGGAACAAATTGGGATGAGGGGAATACAAAGAAGACGTCCTTATGATATAAATTATTGTAAACGAGAACTTGATCGTTACTACATCTTCTCCATCTTTACAATCTCCAACTTCATTTTTGCCCATCATCAAAACAGACACCTCATCATAATGAAGTTGCTTTAGGATTTTCAAGTCCGTACTTAGTCCTTTATCAACTTATAATAATGATGATGATGATGATGATGATGATGATGATGATGATGATGATGATGATGATGATAATAATGGTAATGATGATAAAAACGAATTTCACTTGGATGACAATAATAATTATGAAGATGAATAAAGATGTTACAGAGAAAATTTTATTGTAGAAATAATATCCTTTTTTAGGAGTAAAATTAACTTTAAGGACCAATTTTGAAACCCGGATGTTATAAAGGGAAAGAAGCCCTGAAGAACAATTTCGATAAAAAATTTTCAGTCTGAATTACTTATTACTATGAGAATAATATCTATCTTAAGGATCAAAAAAATTTCTAAGATCGGCAGGGGTTAATAAATTTCTCGTAAATTCTAATTGTAATGTTTTATGTGGCGTTATTATTATTTATTTCAATAAAACGGAACCCTCCCTTCAATATGGGATCACACTTATGACATTGTATGTTGGCTGGAATGCGGTAGAAAAATTTTTGGAGGAAGGTTGGGATTCTTTGAATTAACAAAAAAATCTACTCTCAAGTAATAGAGAAATAGTATCGTTGTCATCATATTATATTCATTGCATAACCCTATTTAATAATTTTTAATAATAAATTTCACCATAATAAGTTCACTAATATAAAAACTTAGTACAACCTTGTTATCTCAAGTTTAAATAACACAAAACTTGATCATAGCATCAATAAAAAAAACTGGATTTAGAAAAAGAAGAAATCGTTGATATTGTTGTGATGTGTGGTATTGAATTATTCTTAAAAATATGGGTTAATAAAGAATAACACACTATTTCATTATGTCAAAACAAAAATTACAAATACAAATTTAAATTCAAAATTTTCCTTATTTCTGCCATTTTATTATATATACATCCCATCTATTAAAAGTATCCGTACACCTATTTTTACTAGAGGCTAATAAACAGTTGGCCGGTGTTAAATTATTCCATTAACCCGTTATTAAAGTAATCCATTAATCTGTTAAAATAGTAGATTACCCTTAATTCCAATTTGTGATAAATGAAAAGGATCGATATGCATTTTGGCCAGAACCCTTGAATCTATTTTTAATTGTATAAAGTTAAAATGACAAAGTGTCCCACTTAATTGTGAAATGAAGCCACATTCACATTATCGGTTGATGTAAGAGAATGGAGAGTAAAAGTGAAATACAACTAAATTGATTTACCACCTATTGAAAATCTTTGTAATTATAATTTATTGTCACCTAGAAAGATAATATAAAGATAATATAAAGGTAATAATAATAATAATTGATTCATAATGAGCAGACATAAGAATTGTTCATTATTTAAAAGAACTTAAGTCATCAAATAACAACATACTAACATTTTTTTGTACACTAAAATCATAAATTACATGGTTGTGTGATTTCTTATTTATATGCTTAACCGATTAGGTTTTTTTGACCTCTAATTTTTTAGGTCTTCACGAAGGTAGTAAGATATCTCCAAACAACTGAAAATCCTGGTAGGACAAAATTGCAAAAGAAAATGTTCTATAAAAAAAACATGTCGAATATAAACGGTATTGAGGTTTTTCATCTTGTACAATTTGCACGAGCTTAAGATTTTCTGTAGAAATGTGCAAAATACATAATAAATTTGTTTGCTCACGATATAAATTTAGAGGTGCGACGGATTCAGTTGGATCAAATTTATCATTTTTTTTCTTCAATGTTATTATTCGCAAAGTAAAAGAAAAGGATAGCAAGCTAGTACACAAAATGAGGAAATAATAATAATAATAACACCAACCAATCAAGAAAAAAAATGCGAAATTTATCCTTGCAGTTGGTGTAAATATGCAAAAAACCGATTGATGTTATATTAATATAGTAACTAATTTTACATATCCATTTGCTTTCGGTATGATTGTGCACCGCCGTTGTAAAAATATTCTTCCTTTTACACCAGCTGCAAAACATTGTTATCTTTCTATTACTATCTTCACTTTGTTCAACCCAAGGGTAAATTCGTAATCGATTTGGATCAAAATCTTCACCTTCTTGTCCGATTGTTCCTTTATTTTTCGCTTTTGTGTACTAGCTGCTGCCTGTTCGGATCCTTCATTACTTTTTTCTTTATCCTCAGAGTCTACTTTTGCGAATAACAAATTTATCCATTATTGAATACTTTTTCAAAAGCTTTAATGTGAATGGAGTGAATAAAAAAGATATTTAAAGAAAATTTGAAAATTGAATGTTCACTCGGAAAAAAATCGTAACAAGGGATGGGGAAAAATTCAATATTCATGTGCATGATGCGCACAATGCACACTGCATCTGCCGATCTTTTTTATTTTTAAAAACAGATTTTTAGTCTCTGGTAAATATCATAGTGGACATTCGTTTTATCGCTTGTGACAAAATCAATCGTCAATCTTTTTTGCTATTTCAATTGAATTTAGAATAGAAAAAAGTCGCGTGACTAAAGTTGGTGTCTGTAACTGTTTTCACATTTTCTGAAACTGCAGGTTTTAAAGCTCGAGTTGCAACTTTTTCTACAACCTCTGCAACCCCTGAAACTATAATTATGATGATTTAGTATCAAAAATGGAATCACATAACTGCAAAATGGGATTTATTGTTTTTAAATAAAATCATTAATTAAAAAAATTTTTTTGATAAAATAAATTTAATTTTATAGGGATTGAAGCAGGTGATTCGGACATTTTCCAAACAGGCAAAACCTTTATCCATTTGTCATCATGGATAAAGGTTTTGCCTGTAGAGGGATATATTATAATTATCCTACCCATGAGTTTGTCGATCATAGAGTGAGTTATCCGGACAAAATCCCGGAGATCAACATCAGAAATATCCACGCCACACACCCCGAAAGGCAGAAGCTTTACCCATTGTTATTCCATGGATAAAGGATTTGCCTTTCGGAAAATGTCCGAATTAGGTGGATTGAAGTTGCAGAGCCATCTTTACATGTGACTGTGCACAAAATCCATTTTATGGAAAATCTTTTTTTTTATATTAATATATCATAATGATAGTGGTGGCTGAAACTAACCCATAGTTTAGGCATTTAGGCAATTTCGGTTTAGTTCTAGTTTCACCCATGAAGTTTTTCCAGCGAAATTGGCAAAACTTAAAATGGCCTAAGCTGTGGGCAAAATTCCTAAACTGCAAAACTTATTAATATTAGTGTTTAAATTTCTACTATTCATGTTATGACCTGGATTCTTAAATAAACCTTTACTTGCCAATGTCCAACTACAACTTTGTCTGTTTATTTTTTGCTTTTTTAATGGTGGTTGATTGCTCTTTTGAAGACAAAACAGAACAATATAGGAATGTGTTAAATTAATTTTTATTATGTGAATCTACACAATTAATAAAATTTTTTTTCTTCATTATTTTATTTTAAATACATTTATTCATTAATTAAATCTTTAAAAATATGGTTTTAAAAGGATTTTTGACAGCATTGTTAAAACACAAATTCCTTTGTTCTTTTGTCCATTTGGAACAATGTTTGGGACTTGAATTCCTAATTGTCATCTCCGTAATAGATGGACTGATAATCAATCATGCAGAAAATTAATCATCTTCCCACATTATTATATGTTTTTTTTCTTATCATATTTTCACAAATGTCAAACCCAATTACATCTGATTCTTCAAGTTCTAATACTCAAAAAACTTCTCTTTCGCCTCCTCTATCTTTTACATATTCTCTTTCCTCTTTTCATCACTTTCTCTAATACCTATTAATAATGAAATAGATACACAAAGAAAAAAAGGTGGACGTCCACATGCTGTAGTATGGAATTACTTTAATAAAAGAATAAAAATTTCTCCTGATCATTACATTGCTGATTGTAAAAGTTGTGGAAAGCATCGGAATAAGGGTTCTCCCACTATGATGGAACATCACACCCTATAAAAATTTTGGTACGGAAAATGTATGGAAACTGTATGGAATTTGTACAGTAAAACAGTACATGAACCATATTGTTTTACGGAATAGGTACGGAAAAAATGTACGGAATCTTCCTGTTAAATGCGCCGAAATGTATGGAATTTGTGCGGGATAGATACAAAGTAGGTGCAGAATGTGCACGAAACATGCATGGGATACACACAGTTTTTACGGAAAACATATGGAATTCGTTTTCCCTCGTACGTTTTCCACACGAATTTCACATTAGCACATCACGTAATTCATACGGGAAATGTACAAGAAAAATGGGTTTCGTAAAAACCGTGTGTATTCTGTGCGTGTTTCTGCACCTACTTCGTATCTATCCCGTACAAATTCCGTACATTTCAGCGCATTTAACAGGAAGATTCCATACATTTTTCTGTACCTATTCCGTAAAACAATACAGTTCATGTACTGTTTTGCCGTATGTTATTTTTTATAGGGCTGCAGGGTTGCAGAGATTGCAGAAAAGGTTGCAATTTGAGCTTTAAAACCTGTAGTTTCAGAAAATGTGAAAACAGTTACAGACATCAAATTTAATTGTGTTCAATGAATTCTATTTTTATATACTAGTTGTGTGTAAGGTTGTGGGCGAAACCTCTTAATGACTGTCGAAACTCTGTTGAAACTCTAATGAACAATTAATGTGTAACCTGTCGAAACTCTGATGATTGGCGAAAACCCCAAATGCGAAACTCTGCCGAAACTCTAATAAACAATTAATGTGTAACCTGTCGAAACTCTGTTGATTGATTTCTGGAGGAGTTTCTCCCGCAACCTTAATACGGGTGGCTTCAAGTGGGTAGGCTTCAAAATAAACAACTGATACTTAGAATGTGAATTTAGATTTACTAATGGATGTATTATACAATTAATATTAAGGACTAGTAATTAGTTTTTATGCAATGAATTGGATCGGAAATGGAGTATATAGGATTGGGAAGGTGGATGAATGTCAATTACCAGTTGATGAACACATTGTAGTATGTTTGAAGACATATATTGCATCCTTAAGTGTTTGGAGGTAAGTTTCTATTGTTTTTTGTACATTATAGCCAATCTGCAGAAATTTTATTTATTTTAATTCCTGTAAAAATATAGGTTAAATTCATGGAAACAGAAAAGAACATTACTAATTTATTAACCAGTAATGTTCAGGGGAAGTGTAGATGTTTGATGGAGGAAAACCCTCCCAAGTTAAATGTAAATTCCACTCCTTAATAATGATTTTTATATTGTTTATTTCTAACACCTTTTTTACCACCTTTTTTAAAAAAATATTTACTTGTTTTTTTTTCTTTCACTTGGTTGGTAATCAGAATCAATTTATTAATATTATTTATAGCTGTTTTAAATTAACTAATTAATTATATTATATACAAAACTTTGCAATAAAATATACTCTTATTTTCAAAATTTTAAACAAATTTTTAATCTATATTTTATTAATAAACTCTTGTTTCGAATGATGAATAAAAAAAATGTTAGAGTAAAACTCCTACTGGATACACCAACAAAAGATGCCTTTTTTCCTTCCTCTTCTGTATCAATTTGTCCTCAACTTTTAAGCTACATCAGCAATTTTTTTGCATATAAAATCTATATAAATACACAATTTTATACAGAATTATCTATGTACAACTCTCAGTAATTTTCATGTAGTTATAATAATAATTACAAATTTGTAGATTTGCAGTAAATAATTATTTATCTTAGTAGGAGTAACAATCTTGCTTATAGTAATAAATTAATAATATTAAGTTGTCATGTGGAAATTGTTCTTTCTGTTGTAATATTAACATACACATGTCTATACATGCAGCCCAAATTGGTTTGGTGATTTTGATGGTCAAAATTATTCCAATTTTGATGGTAGTAAGTAGAAATTAATTACGGCATTCACTATTAAAAACATAAGTGTAACACCCTTTTACTACATGTGTAACCCCCCTTTATGACAGTGTTAAAATACTTTGGGCTGCATGTATAGTCTGGACCACCCCCATGTATATTATATGTGTGGTGGTAGGTTGTGGTTTAAAATACGGGTTCGTAAGTTAGATCGAGTTAGTTTTATTTTGTTCTAATATAAATGTATAGATATATATAATCATGTATATTGAAAATCATTAACATAAATAAACTAATCAGACCTCACTGAACAAAAAAAAAACCATATGTAATACCAACGTTCACTTTGTCTGGTTTTGTTACAGCATGCCCCAAATTAATAAAAAATTGAGTTACTTTAAAAATATATATGTATATAATCAACATTTTTTATCATATATGGTAAGACCTTCATTCATACTGATAAACATAGCGGGTATTCAATTTTAAGAAATAATCAGCATTAATTACACCACATATGTTTCATATACAAACTGACCGTCATCTGACTTTAGCTTGACTTTGCATCACCAAAATCAATTTTGCGGCAATAACAACAATATATTCTGACTTCTCACCTTCTATTTTATAGACTGCCAAAGTAATTCGGTAAAAGGTGAAGTAATTCAGAAGTTAGTTATAGTAGTCTTTTTTGCAATAGAAATTTTATATACTTAATTTAATATATAATTTAATATATAGCTACATTTTAAGCAACTTGCCTTACAGAAAATGGATGTCATACAAAATTTGTCTCAAGAAACACCCTCCAGTAATGAATGTAAAGATAAGTACAATATTGTGATTTAGAAGGCCAAGATGACATTATCTGTGATTATAAAATTAATAATGCTTCCATAGTATCTGATAAAGTTACTATTCCAGATATTAACAAACATTTAAATTTGGTTGGAAAAGCATTATGTAGAAGGCATTATAACAAATTAATTGTTAATGCTAAAAACAAAATAATTAACACTTGTTCCCATCCTAAGCATGATATTTATCTTTCTACAGCACAAAAAAAAGAAAAAATTTTATTCCGGAAGGCACCTGGATGATTAATTAATTATTTTAAATTATTAGAGACAGCAATGATGTGTCATCACTGTTTGTATAAGACTGACAATGATCCAGAATACTCAGATTCACCTAATTATCAATCACCAGCTCAAAAAAAATCAAACAAAAAAATTCAGAAATTTCAAAATAAATATGCTTTACGTGATGATATTTTTTATTCTGAGGAAGAATTTCAACAATTAGAGTCGGCATATCATGAAGTGTGTGCAGAACTTGAGAAAACAAAGTTAGGTAAGTAATTAATTATTCTTCTAATTGTTTACACACCAATATACTAAAAATAATAATGTTATTTATTATTGAACAAAATGAAAATATATATCTTATTTTTTTTTAATAAATTAATAAATTACCAAATAAATTGCTGTTATTTTATTGTCAATAATTATATTTAACTAGCTTATTTGCTTTATTTTAGAAACGGCACCTCTTAATAAAAAAATCAAATTAATGGCAGGTGTATTGTATATAAGACAGAGGGTGAATAACGAAAAACCCATTTTAGAACCTGATGAATTTAATAAAATGTTAGAAGAAGCTGAACCAGCATT